GCGGGATTTAAGAATAAGATTTCGGAATAAGTATTTAGCAACGTCGCTTCATAAAGCTAAGAGCCGGAAAGAAACTTTAAGAATCTTTAGGAGGTTGTTCTCTTAGAAACTGATGGCAAGCATATCAACTAGAATTTAAAAATTGTCATTGAAGTCTTTTCTGGAGCAGGTGGGCACTCAAGAGTTGCCAGAGTGAGAACAGCTGATGGAGAGAAGTTAAGACCATTCCAGATACTTTATCTGTTAGAAATCAATAGTTTGGAAAAGTTACCATTCATTGCTCAAGATACTTGAAGGGATGAAAGCGTCTCTACGGCCTATGGTTCAGATTGCAGTGAAGATGATGATTCTTCACTCAATTTCCCAGATTTTGTCACTAAAGCTGGTTGATGTGTTAAAATTCCCAACAGAGTTGATTTATAACTTTTGTAGCAATTTAAAGGTGTCCTACAAGTTTCAAAGCGGGAGGTTGTTTGAGTAATACCAGTTACAACTCAATTCTGTCCAAGTTTTTTATGTTTTCAAAATAAGCTCTATTGTTTTTGTAAATATACTGCTTCTAAATTTTGTAAATATCTGCAATTAAAGTGTTTTTTCATATTAAATTCATAGTTATGTTTGAATCTTTTAAAATCCGGTCCTGATAACAGAAGAGTACCAAAATTTGTTTCTCTAAAGAAGAAAATGAACTTAAAGGAATGGATTTTTTTCCATGCCTGATTAACAGATGCTTGTAGACATGCTCATAACAACTTAAGCAATGTTAACATAAAATGAAAAATATTTTCACATCTGGTGTATTTGCTACAAAACAAATATTTCCGTTTTATGTCCCTTAAAGCTTTATTGTATAAGAAATGAATACAATGTTCTTGAAGTATTATATTAATTTTCAAATTAACAATATTTTCATTTAATAAACATAGATTAAATTTTTAGGAGTACTGAAAGTAGAATAGAAATGGTGGAAAAAAAGGTGCAAAGAAAATAATTTTATGCACATAAGAATATCAGTAAATTATATCAATGTAATCATTTTTCTTAGTTTTTAAATGGATACCTTTTGTTAGCTCTGCTATGTCTCTTGATAGGATGCATCTTGAAAGTAAATTATTTAATTAGTTGTGCTAATTTCATGACTGAAATCGGAAATTATATATTTTTAAATGCAAGATAAGAGTTATTTAAGAAGTTCCAAATAAATTACATTATTTAAATTTTACACAAAAGTATAATAAGAACATGCCCAAAATGATAGTCTTATTATTAGTAACAGTTATTGTTATGGTAATTATTACAAAAATCATAAAATTAAATTAAAAAATTATTTTACTAACCTCCCGGATACAAAATTTGGTACTATTCGGTTTTGAGGGCTGTAAAAAATCACCAAACTATTGTTGATGCCAATGCTGACAAAAATAATTGCGGCAAGAAAGGAAGTATAATAGTAAATAACTATCTAAGATTGATGTTTTAATTTAGATGAAAGGGTTAATTTCATATACTTTTTTTATTATTATAATTTATATGAAAAAGGCTAAACATGACTGAATGGAAGCATAAGAGTAAATAGCTATTTCAGTTCATTATTATAATTTGTATAAAAATTGCTAAACATAACTGAATGGATGCCTGCATCACTATTTCGCTACCGACTTATCGCTAAAGCATAATTTCATCTCGTTGGTTGTTCAAACGTAATCTTCTATAATGAATGATGCCTTTTCTTTGAAAATATTCTCAGTAACGTGCAGAATCGCCCACTCATTTGATTGCCGCTTTTTACAAATGTTAAAAACAATTGGATTTTTGTCAATTTTCTTTTACTTTTTAAGTGAAGATAGGTCGATGTGTACATAGATAAAGTCAAGGGTGTGTGCAGTGCCATTTTTGTGCAATTCTAGGATTTTTTTAAGTGAAAATAGATTGATGTGCACAAGGATACCGAGTCTGTGCAATTCTTAAAAACGCGTCAAGCAGTGGGGGATTCTGCACTTTACCCAAAATTCTATTGCCGACTTTTCGTCATGGACAATTCCCAAATTGTTAAATCCATAGGATATCAAAAAAGGATTTAAGAATTAAACTAGTATGTCAATGGCATTTTAAGAAATATAGAACTATATAAACTTACACAATCTGAAATCAATCAACGCGTACGCTAGATTTGACGTGCTGTAAAATGGGTACGTTTGCTAGATTTGGTGCTTTTGAGCATACGCTTTCGCTGCAATTTTTTACGGCCCTCAAAACTGAATAGTACCCAAAATTTCTAATTCCCAATTCTCAAAAATTAAAAAATCAGAAATCTGAAAATTTCACCTACCATCAATGAAGCATGCAATTACATTTTTTGCCTAATATTCTTATTTCTCAAAACTAAAATGACACTTTTATCAAAAAAGAGGCTGTCTTATGAACAGGGCTTTAATTGTCTGTTCAAAATGATGTACTGAACGGTTATGTGAATATGGCAAAGCACACGAGGACTATCAGCCTAAGAGAAGGAATGCTTTCGTGGCAGCCCTTTTAATGGAAACTGGTTTATATGCACAATACACATAGGAAACACCATGAAAACATAAAAATATAAAACTATATAAACTTACACAATCTAAAATCAACGCATACACTAGATTTGGCACGCTGTTAAATGGCCGTGTTTGCTAGATTTGGCACTTTTGCGCATACATTTTCGCTGCAATTTTTTACGGCCCTCAAAACCGAATAGTATCCAAAATTTCTAGTTCCCAATTCTCAAAAATTAAAAATTCAGAAATCTGAAAATTTCACCTACCATCAATGAAGTATACAATTACATTTTTTGCCCAATATTCTTATTTCTCAAAACTAAAATGACACTTTTATCAAAAAAGAGGCTGTCTTATGAACAGGGCTTTAATTGTCAGTTCAAAATGATGTAACGAAAGGTTATTTGAATATGGCAAAGCACACGAGGACTATCAGCCTAAGAGAAGGAATGCTTTCATGGTAGCCCTTTTAAGGGAAGCTGGTTTGTATGCACAATACACATAGGAAACACTATGAAAACTAACCATGCAGCCAGCCCGTTTGTATTAGAACTCAGATCAAACTTCCAGTATTCAGCAGTCTTCACCACTTGGCTACTAGTGCAGCCTGACTAGTACTTGGCTACTAGTACTAGTCAGAAGTACTGAACAATTACATCTAAATTTCATGGAGTATATGAATTACTAAAATTGACTTGAGTTCATACAACTAAATATTTAAATTTCTCACTGGCTTCCAGAAACAAGAAATATTCTTTAATGCTTCAAAAATGAAGATTTTTGTTATCCACACCTTTCCAGGATTACAGAAGCTGTTTGTACATTTTTTAGAAAATTTTCCTTGTAATAAAAAAATATTTTACCAAAAATTTTTGTGTTTCAATTGTTCTGTTTGATAAGCCTTATGTTTTCACTACCTTTCTACATTGTCGTAATTCAAAAAATAATAGAGCCTTTTATGGTGTCAGAAGAGGTATTTTATCTCATTCCTTTTGAACAGCTTTCCAAAGTCCAAGGAGGATCGTAGGTCGATGTTTGGACAATCTGCTTTTTTAAAGTCCAAAAGTGCATATGTTCCTGATAATATGTAGAACTGATATTAACATTTTTCTCCACACTCTTTATTTTTAATTTCCCATTATATGAAAAACCAGCAACAATCATAAATCCCTTTGAAAAACTTCCTTTAGATTCTTTGAACCATGTTTTGAGATTTCTAATGTCCTTTGAAGATAACAATAGATCTCTTTTTATTGCAGTTATTTAAATACACCCAAGATCTATCTATTTTGACAACATTTTTGACCAGATAAATGTTTCTCCTAAAGAATTCTGCCGTGCGTTCTGCATGCATTCGGCGATATGTCATAAAGACAACGTATATTATATTTTCTCGCCTTTTTAAGATTCAAATCAGTATTAGTTGACAGTGAGCATTTTAATGATTTTGCTACTGACCCTTGGTGAAGTTTCTTTTAACATTAAATATCTTACCTTTGTAAAATTCGAAACATTCCATTTTTTCCTTGGTTATTATTTGGAACAATTTTTCTACTTGAAGCAACACTTTGACGTTTTTTTCTTTTCTTGTTGACTACCTATCCTAGCTTTGGATTTTGAAAAACCATGGATTTCACAGTGTTTTGTAATAACTAGATAGAAATAATTTTCTTCGGAAAGACACATACATAGACTTCGATCCATTTGCATGAAAACAAACTGTCAGGTAGTAGATGATAATTAATTCTTTCAAAAATATAGCTACAGTTAAACAAATTTCTAAGCAGACGAATTTTTTTATAGCAAAGGAAAATCATCTAAAAAATGTGCGAACAGCCTCTGCATTCACATTACATTGAAAACTACCACATATCATACCATGGTAAAAAATTTTATTCTCCACAAATCAGCGAACAAATATAACAAAAACAGTATCAACAACAACAACAACGAAAAAGCACTAAATTACTAAAAAACTGTATGAATCAAAATTCCACTCCTACTGAAGTCAAATGGGAATGACTGAATGTATAACAAAATTATTTAAATACTTACACAAAGAAAATTAATTTGATAGAATTAATTGAGAAGGTAAAATCCTAGCAGCCTTGGCGCGATTTTGAAAATTATCGCCAACACCAAAAATGAAACAAAGAACGTCTATATACTATGTGTGTATATAGATAATAATATAACTATATATATTTTTTAAATGACCCGTTTACTGCTCATCATAAAGTAGCCAAATCCCGTGTGCACCGGATACTAGGATTAAACCGAAATGAATTGATAGAATTAAATGACAAAAATGAATTGATAGAAATTAATTAAAATTAATTTGATAGGAAAAAAAAAATCTGAAGTTTACATAGTTCAATTAAGTTTATTTGAGGCTGAAGAATAAAACTAAAAATTTAACACAGTTGCATATATATTATTCTAGTTGAAATTAAAATGACAAATTACCAGAATTGTTGCCTAAAAGCTTGAGTTTATATATAACACTGAGAGGAGAAATTACCTTACAGACACTCACGATAATTTAAATAAATTTACGCGGTTTTTAACTTACGGCTACGGTTAACTTTCATATTCAGCTCGGATTCAAAATTATATGTCATTCTTACATTCTTAACCGGTTTCCCATTAAATTTTAGAAACAGAAAGCTTAATTTGTAAAGTTTTCCTCTTGTATGATCATATTATGTTATTTTATTGTTAATAAATTTTTTTAAAATTCATTCTGAAACTGTTTAACTGTTAAATCTAAAACTATTTCCCCACTTTCGTTTTGAATAGCAAGTAAAAAGATGTAGCTGAAGTGCAAAACAGGAAAAAATTTTCTCTGAGATTGAGAAACCGAAAGTTTAAGTGTGGTTTTTCTCACATCTAAATTTTATAAATTCACTTCTGTTAAATTTGCTACAAGTATGGTATAACTTACTTTTGTTAAGATACAATAATTAGATTATGTTAATTGCATTGTGGTATAGAATATGCTAACAGGATGTATAAAATTGTTATTATAGATTGAAACGTTAAAACAATATTTTTATTCATTGCGAGACCAAATCAAAAGTATTTTCTTACAGCTTGTATTGGATTGACATTTCCTACTAAACTCAAATTTCCTAACAGTTTCCTAAACTTAAAATTATTTTATACATACAGTTATAGGATATCCGTGCAATGTTATAAAATATTAATGGAAAAAGTTTTAATTTAATTCTTTGCAGACCATAACGGCCCAGACGGTCTTTCGTTCAAACGACCACAACCGCCCCAAAGGGCCGAAATTCCGATTTTGGTTTCTTCCAGCAGTAGCAGGTGCAGTTTCCCCAAATGCATTGTATCAGTTTATTAGACAGCTTACCCTAAAAGGATTTATTTGTGGTTTTTTATCTTAATTTTTTAGAAGTAAAAAGGGTAGCATTTGAAATCTTCACTCTTCTTTGTGCGTTAATGGATGGGGAGGGGAGGAGATTGCTGTGATTGTCAAAAACAATTTTGGTTCGGTTCGGTATTTTAACATACGGGTTAGCTAAGGCTTTGGTAAGATTTAAAGTTATTTAAGACAATTAATCAGTGTGCTTCAAGTTTTTCTAAACTGTTTCAGTTAATTTCACCTTGACATTTTTTAAAGCTATTTGTACAACTGAGAGAGAAAATTTTATGTAAAACACATGCTTATTATACTCCTTCAAGAATTCGTGATGCAATAGTTCAGGGGTTTTTGCAGATATCTTCATATTATAAAAACTCTGTATCTGACTTTTGGGTTTTAATTATTTTTACAAAGGAGCATAAAACTAATTTCTGTTTATTAATTATGTCTAGCACATATATTCTGTTTTTGATGATAGATAAACAATTTTTTAAATATCAAAAGTTTGTATGTGAATTAAATAATTAATGTATTCTTGGTAAAAAGCCTCACTCAATATCACTTTTTATATGTTTTGTTTTCAGTTAAAAAGTACTTTTTTTAAGAAATGGAAGGTGCTGAATCACCCACAAGTGCTCAGCCAAATTTAAATGAGTTAGCAGTGGATATGTTTCAGAAAAGTGCAGAATATATTGGAGGAGAATTAGCAGGTAATATATTATGTCCTATATTTGAAATAATTAAATCTATATGTATGTTGTTTAAATGATTAAGCTTTTTTAAAGTTTTTTTAATATATTTTAATCATGTATGACGTTATACTATATAAAGTGACCACATTTTTATTGAAACAAAGCGGGACAAATGGAATGAAATGAGAATTATAATTTAGTTATGAAAGCAGACCAATAATCCAAAAAAAAATGTATCTTATTATACACTGACTACCAATAAGTATTTGGACACCTGTGATAGAAAAGAAAAACTAACTTTATTCAAAATCAATAGTTGGTAGAGACTCCACGAGAGGTAATTACAGCGTGGACCCTCCAGGGTATACTTTTCACAAGTCTTTGTATGACAGCTAGTGGTATTTTCTCTCACTCGGCTTGGAGAAGACATAGAAGTTCCTTTCCCGATTTTGCACGGGTAGTGCACCCCTGAATTCGGCGATGCAACTCGTCCCAGAGGTTCTTGATAGGGTTCAGGTCTGGACTCTGGGCAGGCCAGTCCATTCGATGAACTCCATTGCCACCATACCAAGCCTTGGTTAACGTCGAGAGATGACAACTGGCATTGTCATCCTGAAAGTAACAGGGGTCCAACCCGTAAAACTGCCACAACTTAGGAAGCACATTGTCATCCAAAATAGTGCAGTAGGCATCGGAGTTGAGCTTACTGTGAATGGGAACCAAGGGTCCCAGCCCATACCAGGAGAAACACCCCCAGACCATAATTCCACCTCCGCCGAACTTGACTGTTGGCACAATGCATTCTGGCAGGAGATGTTCTCCAGGTAGACGCCAGACCCAGACCCTGGTCTGGTCTGGTCTGGTCTGACCTAAAGGGTGAACCTTGATTCGTCACTCCAAAGAACCTGTTTCCACTGATGTACGATCCAATTTCGATGTGCTTTGCACCACATTAACCGAGCAGCGCAGTTGGACTTTGTGATCAAAGGCTTTTGGGCAGCAGCACAACCATGAAAACCAAGCAGATGTGCTTCCTTACGGATGGCATTCATTGAAACAATACTCCCGGATGCCTGTTGAAACTCCTCGCGGATGAGGGCCATCGGTTGGGTGCGTTTCTTCCGAATTTCTCTGGACAGCACTCGTCGGTCTCTATCTCCCAGTTTCGTTGGTCTGCCGACTCGGGGCACATTCCGACAATCACCGTTCACCTTCCACTTCTTAATCACATAGGCCACTGTCGATTTTGGGTACTTCAGATCGCTAGATATGTCCCTTAAGGATTGGCCACATTTGTGATACCCGATAATTATACCTTTCTCGAAATCAGAGAGCTCTAAACTGCGAGGCATCTTGCATGCGACTAAAGCCGATGCTGTTTCCTACACAATATATACCGGCGGAGTCCATGACGTACCTTAGGACAGCAGACATCGTCATTTGCATAGGTGTCCAAGTACTTATTGGTAGTCAGTGTATACATTCATATACTTGTCTATAAATATACAAAAATATATTTATTATTAACTATTGGTAACTATAAAAATATTTGTAAAAAGCAATAATTTGAATATTATGTTTCTTAATTAATTTAGTATTTTATTTAAAAAAATTATGATTTTCTTTCACGGTCACCTTTTTTTATCCAAGTGAATACTTTGCAATAGATTCGGATCATTTAATAAAATATGAAATTTCTGACATGAATTTGTCAAATTATATTTTACACTTAATACATATTTTAAAGTTTTAATGTTCAACTGCGTTTTTTCAATTGTCCATATTTTAGAAAAAACACATACTGTTGCTCATTTGTCTGGAAGGAAGAGCGCGTGTTCACCAATTTTCAAAATATTTTCATAAGGAATATTATTCTGTTTAAAATGAAGGAATAACTCCACCCATTTTTTTGTCTGCTTCCACATTTGCAGACAACCAGCATTTAATTTTTTCATCAGTAATAACGTATTTTTTTACTAATGGCACCTCATCAAAAATATCATTTTCACAAATATTATTTTTCGGAAAATGGTTACTAATATATTAAAAAGATTTTTCCACACATTCCCATAAAATCTCCTTTTTTAAAGTCACCCAATGAAAGTTTTTAATGTTCTCGAATTGAACTGTTCGTTCTTCAAGGTATTCCAAGCAGTTGTCATAAAAATTTCTGATTGTCCAAAAAATCTGGTCGTTTAATCGCACTTTGTTCTTCCAACCTGATGTCCTTGCAAATAACTAAAGGAACATAATCGTTATCAATTCTTTCTCGCAATTTTGTTTTTAAATTATTGATTAATTTGACACTTCCGTAACTGAAATTTTATTCTCTTAAATAATTTTCACGACACTGTGAAATAATATAGGTAATATTTGGTTTCGAGGGCCGTAAAAAAATTAGAGCAAAAATGTATGCACAAAAGTGCCAAATCTAGCAAATGCGCCCATTTAACAATGCGCCAAATCTAGCGTACGCGCTGATTTCATATTGTGTAAGTTTATATAGTTCTATATTTTTATGTTTTCATGGTGTTTCCTATGTGTATCGTGCATACAAACCAGTTTCCCTTAAAAGAGCTGCCATGAAAGCATTCCTTCTCTCAGGCTGATAGTCCTCGTGTGCTTTGCCATATTCAAATAACCTTTCATTACATCATTTTGAACTGACAATTAAAGCCCTGTTCATAAGACAGCCTCATTTTTGATAAAAGTGTCATTTTAGTTTTGAGAAATGAGAATATTGGGCAAAAAATGTAATTGCATACTTCATTGATGGTAGGTGAAATTTTCAGATTTCTGAATTTTTAATTTTTGAGAATTGAGAACTAGAAATTTTGGGTACTATTCGGTTTTGAGGGCCGTAAAAAAACTGCATCGAAAATGTATGTGCAAAAGTGCCAAATCTAGCAAACGCGCCCATTTAACAGTGCGACAAATCTAGCGTATGCATTGATTTCAGATTGTGTAAGTTTATATAGTTCTATATTTTTATGTTTTCATGGTGTTTCCTATGTGTATTGTGCATACAAACCAGTTTCCCTTAAAAGGGCTGCCATGAAAGCATTCCTTCTCTTAGGCTGATAGTCCTCGTGTGCTTTGCCATACTCAAATAACCTTTCATTACATCATTTTGAACAGACAATTAAAGCCCTGTTCATAAGACAGCCTCTTTTTTGATAAAAGTGTCATTTTAGTTTTGAGAAATAAGAATATTGGGCAAAAAATGTAATTGCATACTTCATTGATGGTAGGTGAAATTTTCAGATTTCTGACTTTTTAATTTTTGAAATTAATCTTTGGATTATGGTAACTTGGCGAAAATTTGGCGAGCAACCCTGCTACAGCAACCTGCTAGTTTTTGTTTGGACGCCATTTTCTTTTCACAAAGTTAAGGCTTTTTTTTTTTTTTTTTTTTTTTTTTTTTTTTTTTTTTAAACTCAACATTTTTTTCCAACAATCTGCTAGCCGAATTACGCTTATGCTAGAACTTTTATGGAAGAAAAATGCTTAATCATGACGAAGATTATGTGCGAAATTGGGAGAAAGGGCAGAATTGCCCACTGCTTGCCGCGTTTTTAAGAATTGCACATACACGGTATCATCCATGTACACGTTGACTTATTTTCACTTAAAAAAACATCCCAGAATTGCACAAAAATGGCATTGTGCACACTCTTGACTTTATCCATGTACACTGCTAAAGTCCTGGCTAGTAACCTTTATCACCTTACCTAAATGTCGCCAAACTACCTGTTACCATATTCCAAAGATTGGCCATTTTTGAGAACTGGGAACTAGAAATTTTGGGTACTATTCGGTTTTGAGGGCCGTAAAAAATTGCAGCGAAAATGTATGCTCAAAAGTGCCAAATCTAGCAAACGCACCCATTTTTTACAGCGTGCGAAATCTAGTGTACGCGTTGATTTCCCATTGCGTAAGTTTATATAGTTCTATATTTCTTAAGACGCCATTGACATACTACAGTCAAAAGTCGTTAATCCGGACTCGTCGGGACTTCTGCGATTCCGCAGTATCGATTTTTCCGGATTATAGATCATCAGTTTAAATCTCATAAGATGGCATGCAGAAATTCTAAAATTAAAAATATGAAACCGTAATTTATGAAATAAAGAACAATTATGATCTAAAGGGTATCAAAATTTGAAAAAGAAAAAGCTTTTAATATTTATTTGTTTACTTTATTAAACATTTCTTTCAATGTAAGTTGTTTAAGTTTTGCTTAAACGTTCATGTGTTTCATGTGATAATACTTTCTCTTTAATTCTATTAAACAGACATAATTTCTTGTTCAGTTACAAAGTTCCGCTGTTCAAGTCCTATAATTGCTGTGGCGAGAACACCGACTAATTTGTCGATCGAAATTTTTTGTCGTTTTCAATAACCTCTATCACTTTCTTCGCTATCGGAAGCGAATTATAATGACGAGGAACTTGTTTTAAATCATATCAAAGATGGAGCATATCGAGATGAAATACTACATTTGGTAAGGAATTATAAGCCAAATAAAATAAAAACATCTGCGCTGAAGATAAGGATAGTGCTGACAGATCAACTTCCAATTCATTACGCACCCGCCGCGGTGTTCCCCCGCCGAGCAACGTGAAATTGATAAACAGATTTCGGATTTCAAAACATATTTTCGCTTTAGATCCTTTACATATTAACAAATATATATCGGAAATTCTATGTGATATAATCGAAAGTTTAAGCATACTTTTATAAAATTGCTCTTACAGTCTGCAAAAATAATAAGCCGGATCCAATTCAAAAATTAAGCGCAAATCAACGCAATCATCAACATTAACTGAAATAGATAATTTTAGCTTATACGTCCATTATACATAAAACGCGCACGCAAAAATGTATTCTGCACTTGCGCACACTCATATGCGCAGTCGTAAAAGGTCTTACGCGCACATGTAAACGCCTATGCGCATGTGTCAACGCGGCGCATGCGCAGAAAGTTTTTAGTTTTGAGGTCCGGATTATAGATCGTT